AAAAAAGCCATTTCTTTATTCTAACTAATATTTTATTCCATTTAAACTTTTAAAACCCATTTGGCATTAACTCAATTTTAATTCTCCTGAATAAGGATTTATTTTTGGTACAGAGTGGTTTGAATTTAGTAAATAAAGTGAATTCAAACAATTGTAACAAAAATGGTGTTTCAAAATTAAAAGGTAACAATAAAATAAGTTAGATCCTTTTCTTGTTTTAAGAATGTTACAATGAGGTTTTAAATGACCCTAAACTATATCAAAACTTCCGTAATTTCATGACAAGTGCAACGGTGAACCCCGCATTTGAATCGAGCAAGTATCAACAAAGATACAACAGTTTTTATCAATAAAAAAACACGTTTGTCCCAAATAAAGGGTGTGGGCAAGGTCCACGCGTTAGGTGGTGGAGGAGCGCCAGACCGATACAAGTGTATTTCTGAGCACTAGGAGCTCAGCCATGCACGGGGAACATTGTGTCTGATTGCCGCGTATTGTGCCAGTTTTATGCTTCAATCCAGTATATTATCGGTGGAAGGTATTGTTCCAAATTTAGTGTAGTGTGGGGTTTTGGGCTTGGGATTTGTGAAATGGAATAAAATAATGATAACCATTACTGTAGTAAAAGGGGATAACAGGCAGTGCAGTAATCACCGGGGGATATCGCTCCTTTCAGTGTCAGGGAAAGTGTATTCCAGAATCAAGACTTAGAAGGCAGATGGAATACAAAATGGAAGAGTTTCAAAGTGGGTTCAGACCCAACAGATATACACAGGATTTAAAATTCACAATGCACATCCTCAGTGATAAGACTGTTTGGTATTTATTCTGTATAGGTGCCTCCAAACAAATTTTTAATTTTGATATCCTACTTTATAGTTTTTTACCTCCTGAATCCAAATATACCATTATTTTTCACCGCTGATGAATATTTCTCAAGATATCGCCGTAGAAACATACTTAACATTACAATAAACAAGATAGGATGGATAACATTTCAAGTGATTCTGTAGTCAAATAACTTAATGTTCACTATAATAGGAATTTTGTCACATTATGGAGATATAGATTGACTGGTGGACTAATTACATGTAGAAAAAACACTCCAAATTACTATTTCAAAAATGCAATTTGAAGTGTTTTTCTCAGGATTTTAATTTTACAAAAACAGTCTGCAGGCAACATAAACTAACAACTCGATACATTATAACCTAAACTTTACCTTCCTAATCTAACCTACCTTCAAAAGACTTAATGCAGTCACCAATTCACATAAAGCACGACCTATCACCCTGACATGCCTTTTCTGGCATCAAAAGGAGTTTGCTTACACATTCTAGAGGTTTGGTTAGGTTATGTTATGTTAGAATAGCACCATTTTATCATGTAATTTCTAAACGGCGAAATATAAATTAATAAATCATTAATAAGGATAAAATACTGGTAACATTAATACATTATTAACTTATTGGTCTTAGAAAGTGTAAGTGTAACTTTATCAGGTGATTTTCATATTGCAGAATCAGAGTTAGCTAATTTGTCACTTCCATTTGCTTGACTATGATTGAAAACAATCAGCTGGTTGGTTTACTTAACACATAGGCCTAGTTCATTCCACTTGTAAATCCTAGCTTGTTTATTGTAATGTTGTATATTATTACGGCGATATCTTGAGAAATATTCATCAGCTGTGAAAAATAATGGTATATTTGGATTCAGGAGGTAAAAAACTATAAAGTAGGATATCAAAATTAAAAATTCATTTGGAGGCACCTATACGGAATAATTACCGACTGTTTTTAAACCTAGCCTTATTAATTCAGTTCTCCAAATTGAAAAGATTCACTTCACAGTATTATTTACTTATGTTACAGTATTGTTTTGTTACTTTACAGTACAAGTTTGGAACAATGAGGTCCAAGAATTGAGAGAAAATAAGTAAAATTGTAATACTTAGAACGTCAACAAAGCCTTACATTGGAACCTCGATAACAAGACCCTTGATAACAAGTAAACCATGTTAACAAGTGTTCATTTTTAAACCCCCAACAATTTATTCTACCCCTAATCACATGTTATTAAAAACCTTGATAAGAAATCAAACTTGATAACAAGTCTAAGTCTTATTTAATAATACCCATGAGAGTCTTGTTAACGAGGTTTTACTGTATCAGCATTATAGGACCCCTATTATACATGTATACTCAATGTTACTAGTAAAATAGAAGTAATTAGTGAAGACTTAAACCAGAAACAAGGAAGTCAAAAGTTGTTAAAAGGACTGACTGAGGACTAAGTACATTTCTATCCATCAACCAGTTTCTATGTGTGCTACCGACAATTTATTACACATACTTTCGTTAAATGTTGTATTTTTTTTTTAAATAAATACTTGAGTTTAACGGGAGCTAAGTGTAGTTTAACAAACTCTGTCTTTTTGTCTTTGTGTTTTATTAATCTCCTATCCCCTATTCCCTATTCTTATCCAGTAAAGGAGAACATTAAGTTTAGACCGGAACACACTCTGTAAATAGCTCATACAACTGTGTTCCATTTGAGTTTAGAAAATTACAGCTGATTCTTATAAGTGAGATGTCTTCTTGGTATACAAAATAAAATTAATAATAGACATATTTTGATAAAAGAACATGTTACTAAATTGGTTTTCTACATACTTGAGGGATAGATATCAAAGGATTAAAATTATCAAATTTGGACATACTATAAATTCTAATTGGGAAAAAGTTGAAGTAGGGGTGCCTCAGGGATCAATATTGGGCCCCTGTCTATTTCTTATTTATGTAAATGACCTACCAAACGTGTCAAAGATTGATATACATATTTTAATATGCTGATGACACAATGCTGTTATGTAAGGGACCCAATGTTGAATCCATTCAGCACACAGTAGATACAGAATTGGCCGCTTTAACCCTAGATCTGGCGGTCATTTTATTGGCCAGTGGCGGGTATATTTTGGCGCTTTTGTAGTGGTATCATATATTTTGCCACAGAACATTTATTTGTGAATATAAGTACACACATATATATATTTTCTGTTTCAGTGGTATATTTAGAATATAAAAATATTTTTTTCTTAGCAATGCGTTTAGGCGTAGTAGCAAAAGGTTTGCTAATTTTTGGATTATGCAAATTATAAATTTCAAAAGCAACCCACAAGAAAACTACAAAATAATTTTTTTACACATTTTATCTAAATGTAAAGGTTGTGTGAAATATGTTTCCCTACGTAGAAATACCAATGTAGGCTATTTTAAATACTCATAAAAATAAAATTATAAAAAAATAAATTCTACATACATATTTTCTTTTTTGAAAAACTACCAAATTTCTTTTGGTCACGTAGGAAATAATAGAATTCATCAACAAAAAATAAGATGATACTGTACAATAGGTAATAAAAGATCTTTTTGAAAATATATAGTTATATTTAGTTGAATTCTAAAATTTCAGAGAAATTGACGTTGGAATGTAAAATTTTGAAGATTTTTTTACAAAAACATAGTTTTTATGACATTTTTAAAAACAAGTAAAATTTGTACAATCAACCTTATAGATTCAGAGGGAATTGTAGGGAATTTATTTTAGTTTCAGAATATGTACTAATATTGTATACAATTTAATTGACAATCACCAAAAACAGCTGTTTTTGTAGTCAGGTGACCAAAACTTTCCACCGCCAAAATCTATTTTGAACTCTCTAGTTTTTCAAACTATGTTTCTCGCTACATAATACTCACTCAATAATGTTTTATGCATGAAAATGAATCCTCAGAATCTCATCTTTCTAATGGTATAAGATTTATTGTGTTTTAAAACGGCTTTCATATTTTAATAATAGAAAAACCCGACCCATGTCCTCTTGGTCTATAATAGACCAGCGCCACTGAGAACTCACGTTTTAGTGGTCGAAAATCGACCAGCGCCAGATAGAGGGTTAAGTGACTGGTTTAGAGTAAATGGGCTCTCCTTGAACATGGACAAGACTCAAGTAGTTAATTTTCGATCAGATCATAGAAATAGTTTAAAACAGACCACTTTTACAAATCATCAGTTAATGCCTGAGGAGACAGTCAATTTTTTGGGTATTCATATTAACAAAATTCTTGACTGGCTTCCTCACATTGACAAACTACGGAAAAAACTTTCTTCAGCAATATTTTCTCTCAAAACAATTTCTCAAGTTACAGATACTAAAACTCAATTAACAGTTTATCATTCATATTTTTCATCTTTAATGTCCCACGGGATACTTGTCTGGGGAAATTCTTGCCATGGTAAGAAGATATTTAGCCTTCAAAAAGAAGGCACTTAGAATCATAGCTAAAGTACCCCTAAGAAGTCCATGCAAAATCATCCTTCAGGCTTTTAGTGTTTTGACATTTTAAGACCTGTATATTTTAGAAGCATTATTTTGGGTATTCAACAATTTGTCCATTTTCAGGGAGGGTCACACAAACCATAGGTATAACACTAGACATAAGAACCTAATTAAGCCGACTAGCCATAGATTATCACTATTTGAAGCACCACCTCAATATTAGACCAAAATTGTATAACTTGATTCCTGATCATTTAAAAAACATCACAAATCCAAAAAAGTTCAAACAAAAATGTAAAGAATGGTTACTGACAAAAACATTGTATTCTTTAAATTAATTTTTTAGTGGAAATTGGGAGTGTTAAGTGTTGAAATTATTTTATTTAGATTTTTTACTATTTAGATTTAAGTATTATAATGCATTGACAAATGTCCTGTCATATTATGATGTAATGGCATTCTGTAAATAAATAAATAAATAAAATAAATAGATACGGCTTTAAAGATATAGTTTGGGAATATGTGGTCATCCTATAGTAATGATAATATAACAGTTGTGTTATAACTAATTGGCACAGTTGTATTTCCCTAAATTGTCTTAAATGGTGTTCAACCCTATTATAACCTCAACCTTTACAAACTGACATGATTGGCATACCTGATTTTGACTAGAAATGTCGACACCATGCAAAGCAGAAGGAAATTCCGCTCTTGTCCCACTTTGGGCTTTAACTTCTCTATTTGTATGAGCAGAACTAAGGCGGCTTTATCAGCACACCACGGACCTGTAAACAATAATAGAATTGTAATATCTCTAACAAATGTGGAGCTCAACCTCCTAAACCACTCCAATGTCCCGCCAAAAAGGTATCAATAGTTTAAGTTCTAAGCCAAGCCATTGTTCAATCCAAGACAAGACAATGTGCTTGCATGCGCGGGAGCACATCAGGTGAGTCAAGGGACGAAGTCTGAGTCTTGGGGGAACCTCAGCACAGTGAACATGACACACTACTAGACGATGGAGTAACTATAATGTGAGGTAGGGTGCTTAAATCCTAAGTTACTGTAAATTTAATCAATTATTCTTTTTCAGGTTCAATTATTAACAATGTCCAATTTAATTTCTAGTGTCAGCATTTCCATAGAAATATTTTTTTAATTAATGCTTCTCATTGTGTCCAGTCACCTTGGTCTGTAATTTGGTATATTCATTGAAATGTAATAGTATTTCCATAGTAAAAATTATTTAAATAGTGTTGGTAATCATCAAAGCTGGCTCGTTGGGACTATGATTTGTGGTAAGCTGTATCCTATGGTTAAATTTAAGGGATTTGGGAATTTAAGGGGAATTTGGGGGGGGGGTTTCAATGTGAATGATAATGTCGTAACACCCAATCAATCGACCAAATCATCACAAGTTGTAGCTAACCGCTACACAAAGTCAACTTAAAGTTGTTATAGTTGAGAATATTTTATATATTCTTAATGTCAGAGGGAGCGAATAAAAGTTACCGGTATTGATTAGATATACTGGAGAAAATAAAAAATTCAGTCAAAGTTTAAAAATGAACTACTAATTTAAACGATAATATTATTATTCATTTCTCAAAGAGAACAGTACAAGTGTCATAAGATATTTACAAGTAATTTGTTGGTTACATTTTACAAAAATTTTTCCTGCTTTATCTTTTAAATAGCTTTGTCTCGGTGTAGGAGGGTATTTCCAACAGTTAGTCTGTAAGTTTTTTCTTGAAGCTTGTTGAATAGGTCTCTTGCTTGAGGTGTTCTGGGATGAATTTAAAGTATGCAGCTCCTTTACTGGATGGTTTTTTTTCTCTGTTTACTTATGGAATGAAATGGTGAAATATGAAGCAAGTTTGGTGTTTTGATTGTGTAGGTCCCTATCACTGGTTTGTTAGGACGCTATTGTCCATTTTTTATTCCTTACAGGCAGCAGTCTTATTGCCTAATGCCAACTAGGCACCTGAATGCCTTCTTTTGATGGATGAGAACAAGTTTAGGTTAAATACAGTGACCCCCTCCCTCAGATTAAAAAAGTGTAAAAGACCAAAACCTAAATCCAACCAAAAGTCTAAAATAGATTCTCTATGAAATATTAACAAATGAAGTTATCGAATCAAATACTTTTCAATCGTGATCAGTACACAGTCTCATATTTAACAGTGTCAATCATATATTACGTACATACATCATTGACTTTGACTTGTCACCAATAAGTAGTCTAAGTTCAAAAATTCTGTATTTCAGGGAGTTTATGGTACAGTGTTATATTGAGGTTGTACTGCAAAAGTTCCATTACCTAAAATTTTATAAATCAATCACTGGGCCTAACAAAGGTTTATCAAACTAATGGCAACCATACAGGGTGGATGGTTTTTGAACATTATCTTCTAGAAAACATCACCTTACCCATTGTGGTGAGGATGTATTGATAGTCTGCGAGGATTTTCATTGGATCATCTTTTGGGTTTGGTTGTTCCAACCAACACTCTTCGAAAAGATCTTCATAGATTTCAGACGGGTCATAGCGATGGTCGTCCAGAAATTCTTTTATTTCAACCAGATGCTCTTGGAGGATGAGGCCTAGGTCTGTGAGCTCATAATCTCCACATTCCAAAATGATTTCTTTGGGTTTCGCACAGTACCTGAACAAAATTATGATTCCTTATTCATTGTATGATGAAAAAAATTAAACGAAAAATTGTTTATTTTTCAGGCAAAGTTAGGGCCACATGGCCCTTTCTTACACTTAACCTGACATTCATAAGTATATAGAAATAATAATACAATTGGATTACTTAAACATCTATCTAAACATAAACATATTTAACAATTTAAGTACATTTCTCAGAAAAAAAGAAGGAAAAAACATGCAAATTTACCAAAAAAACACATTTACACACTCTCGCATGCAGGCATCATCAAATGCGCAAAGAAACAGTAGCCCTAGGACACGCCAGCTGAGACCATCAGCTCAAAGCAGAGCTTCTTCTGTGCTACCACAAACTGGGAATGTTTTTCAAGTGTATTAATGTGCAGGGGTAGGCCGTTCCACAGACAACAAGCGGTAACAACAAAAGCCCTGCCATAACCTGTGGTCACATGATGAGGTATACGCAATGTGATCGAAGAAGAACGAGACATTTTTTGTGAACTATCCTGAGACACAAATTTAAAATTGTATTTGAAATATTTTGGGGAGCCTGTTGCTAATGGACAGTGGACATTATAGTGACGTCAGTGGGGTAACCAACCGTACAGAGTGGTTGGAGTTTAAGTTGGGTCGAGACCCCCGAGTCGTGGATTTGGGGCAGTGAGTTTGTGTCTGGTGGAGACGTCGACAAGTGCTGGTGGACAGTGGACATTATAGTGACGTCGGTGGTGTAACCAACCGTACAGAGTGGTTTGAGTTTAAGTTAGGTAGAGACCCGCTGGTGGTGATTGATGACTTTCCCTAATATTTTGGCATCAGTGTCGTACAATAATATCTAGAGAATTTTACCTGATTTTATTACAAGGGTTACAGTTGTAACCATGCTGTTTGCTGGTCTAAGCCTGACGGTAGCTAGGATTTTCAGGTGTCAGGAATAATATTAAAGTATATTCCTGATGGTTCTTGGCAAGTACCGACGCGCATATATTGTATTTTATTGTCTTTGAGGATTATTTTGCGTTGTGTTGTGCCACGAGTTAAATGTTTTACTGGTAGCTCTGAGGCCCGACAAACCTAGGCTACCGGATTTGGCATGTATAGTTGACCGCAAGTGGCCTGTAGGCTTGTAGATATTTTATTAGCCTATTAAATAGAAGCCCAGCTGATCAATGGCATGTTGATTAATTAGTAGTAGTAGTGTTTTTATTGGTTAAATTTATTATTGTCTTAATTTAACCTGAACAGCTTCTTTGTTCATCCAAAATGTTATCTTGGTAGCTTGGATATTGTAGTAGCAGATATTGGATATATTTAGTTAGTGTTTGGAACATATTATATTTATCACACTGCTACTAAGTAGCTCAATGATTTAATAATAGTGCAAGTGGCATTTAGTATTTATTTACTTTCACTTGGTATTTATTGGGACCAGCTACTAGGTGTTTAGTAGTTTAGTCACTCTGCATATAGTATACTCAGTGCCGGATTTACCACTAGCCACGGCCTAGGGCCGCAAGCAAAAGGGGGCCGCAGAGGATTAAAAAAAACTTTTTTTAAATAAAAAAATAATTTTCTTAACCATCAGTTTGCCACGATCACAGGTGACCATAATAATGTTTCCATGATTGCGGCCCACGGGCCACTGGAGATGTTCTCGATTTTGCCGTGGCTGGGGGTGCCAATGAGGATGTCCCTGTAATGGCTTCCCGAGGGGGATGTTTACGATTTCAGCACGGCCGTGGGTGACAATGATACACTCATGATCGCAGTCCACGGTGGATGTTTTAACACGACATTTCCGCGACCGCGAGTGTCGATGATGATGTCCCCGTGATTGCGGCCCGCGGGAGATGTTCACGATTTTACTGCGGTCAAGGGTGACGGTGATAATGTCCCTTTTTTGGGGGAATGTTCATGATTTTGCCGCGCTCACGGATACCTATGATAGCTTTGACTTGATTTAGGAGAGATGTCCACGATTTCATTCACGATCACGGGTGTCATTGATGATGTCCCCTTGATGCATAAGAGATATTCTCGATTACTTCCGCGATTTCAAGGAATTTCCACCACAGGGGAGGGAGGGCAGCTCAAGTAATTTGGCCCAGGGCCGCAAGTACCCTAAATACGGCACTGAGTATACTTACATTATTATATGGTATTATTGTATATTGAGTGAACTGTTTGATTGTTAGCTTGGGCATTAGAGTTGTGTATTGGATTATAGTGGCCGATTAGACCCCACCTGGTAATAACGGGTGTTGTGGTTTAATTTAGCAAGTTGTCGTGTCACCCACATTCTTTTAGGAACTCTGGGCCTAACTATTGGATAATTAGTACTAAACACAAGTTGCGTAGTCAGCAAAGACCCCCTAGGAGAGAGGAGAATCGGCGTAGGTCTGGTGATGATTATTACACGTTTGTTTGGTGACTTGTTTTTACTTAAATTGTGTTACTGAGTCTTTGCTGCAAAAAATGATTTTCCCTAAAATGGCTACATTACGTTTGCGGTGCCCTTGTCTTGAGCCAGCCCTATACCGGTTAGACCCGGCTTCTGGCATAATGGTTGCCTTATCACAGACCCTGGAATTTTACCCATACATTGTAGGCTGAGCTATCCTAGCCAAAAGTTTGTGAAATATTCATTGCAAAATTATGTGAGATTCAGTGTATACTATATAAAAGTTTAAACCAAAAAGAATATTCTTCTATAACAGCAGAATCCACCACAAACATAATGGTGTGAGTTTCATCAAAATAAAATACAAGAAAATAAGTCAGTTAATGCAAAACAGTCAAATTGGCTCATGGTATCCAACAATCACATGGCACTCAACACTATAGAGGGTCGTGGCCGTCAAAGAGTTGACAATTAAATCAGTCGGAACTCTGGATGTAGTTTGTTACCTAATGATGGAGATTAAATCACTAGCAGTTTCAACACTGCTGTGAAGAGTGGCCTCTAGTATTTTGATTTCCGCCTCTAGTCTCCCTGGCTCGGCTCCGCCGGGTCCTGGCATAAGAGGCGATGTGAGGCCCAGAACCTTGACACTGCCGAACTCATCCTTTTGGCCGAACAGTCTCATCACCTGGAACAGAGGAAATCAATTACAACCACCACAGAAAATATTTTTTCCTGAATTAAAAAGCCTTAATAAGTTTTCTTAGTTGTTAACCATGTTCAAAACTTTAAGACTATTATTAAAACCATTAACTTTTTCCGTTTCTAAGCTATGGTCATAAATAATAGATATAACACAAAAATACTGTAACAACTGTATATAAGATAAACTGATACTGGTGAACACAACCTAAAGCCTGAGCGCATTTAAACAAAGTTCATTTTGGTTTGGAATTTTTTGAGAATAGAGATAAAACAAAATATCTGTAAAGCATTCAAAGGAAAATGTGAAAGAAATATTTCTGTGACTACAATTTTTCTAATGGAACATGTATTTTACTTTTATTTGTATGTATTTTACAAGAGTTTTTATGTAAAAATAACTTTATGTGATTTATACTGGCTAAATAAAGACAATATTTATTTATTTATCTATCTTTCCTAAAGCTAAACACAACTAAAAAAAGTTCAGCTTCCAAAGGCTTGGTGTGCACCATAAGAGTACAGACAGGGGTGGTAGCTGCAGGAAATTAAAATGAAATTTTTGTTTGGATTTAAACTCGTTTGTAAGAAAACTAAACCCCAGTGTACGGAAGAATCAATAAAATCTTGAGTTGTACAAATGATCAAGTTATGATCAAAATGCAGTCAGTTTCTTTCCTTGGAACTGGGCTGAAGCGGTTGGCCTTTGAAGCTAAAATAGCTGTGTGTAAATGTGTAAATACAATTTAAGTACCAATTTTTTACACTAAATCTGTTTATAGAAGCGGCGTGCAGTCTATCAACATACAGGGTACCACCGAATTTCCAAAGCTCTTGGCACTTTAACGAAGATACTATAATTATATACTTAAGCCTGTAGCTAGTTATGGAATACCGGTACACAATAATTACAGATGAGTACCTCAGATGTAACAGTTTATTACTTATATAAGTTGAAATATGCACACTTTTGGATGTTTAACGTCACAATCAGCCTGTACAAGATGAGTTTTTTAGTCAATGACATTGTCAGATAGTTTTAACAAAATAAACATATTTGAACACTCAGGCGTTATGGTACCGTAATGAAAATTACAATAATAATAATACATGAAAGACAAGTTGATACATTCACGACCACGCCTTAAAGGTTAAGGACAACAGTGCAGAAGCCCGACCACGGCCTGATGCATAGTCAGTTTTACGAGAAACATAAGTTAAACAGCATACAATAGGCGAAATGCAGCCCAATGGTTGGACCTGGGTAGGACGACCAGTGAGCTAGATTCACCAGCTGTTGTAACGGTGCATTGCACACCGTCTCCAACCGGACTACTCATCAAGTGAGCGGTGTACACCTGATTTGTTCTGTGAGGTTAATCACTTTTTTAGTGTCGCTGTTAGATTTTGACGCTGAGAGTTTCTATTATAACTATTACAGTAGAACCTCGATAACAACTCTTTCATGGGGATGATTATGTAAGACTTTTAAAGATTGACTTCTTATCGAGGTTAGCAATAACATGTATTTAAGGGTCATATGAAATTAATAGTATTTGAAAATGACTCTTGCTATCAAGGGCGGCTTGTTATAGAGTGTCTTCCACTGTAGGCTACATACATTCAGGCTAGTTAGCCATTGCTTTAACATATAACAGGCCTACCACCAACTGTAAAACTTAAACAGTACCTGCTTATGATGACTTACACAAGGCCTACAGAATTCAACTGATATTTAACTTTTTAGAGGGAATACATGTGTAATTAATACAGTCTTACATAACTACAGCTATGTGGCTAATAATTTTGATTAAAATAAAATTAGGTTCAATCAAAATCATAAAATTATGCAAAATAAATTTCTATTTTACTTACATTTCTCATAGGGTGGTCCCCAATTGCATGGTGGCAGTCATCCAACACCAACAAGTTTATGTCCGACACCTTCAAACTATGGCTGGACAGGTGTTCAAGCGCAACCTCACTAGTCATCACAAGCACCTGAAATAAATAAAATTTGAATCGATTTTGGCTTTCACAAAATGTCACTTAAGTTATTTAGCTTTTCTCGAGGAAATCCAATGATTTATGTATTATAGGTCTTTGACATGAGTTGAGTAATTTTATTGAGAGGAAGAAATATATACTGATTGTAGTCTTTTAAATCAGTGTTTCACTGTGTTACTCAATTACTAAACGAGTTCCTTGCCGGAACTTAAAGTCTAACATCTACATGCCTAACACCTACATACCTAACACCTACACGCCTAACGCCACACATATTCACTACAGTAAATGGTTTTCATTCGTTTTGGCAAGAATTGATGAAATGCTGTTGCTCAAATGCAGCTTGGGTGGTTTCCTACTGAATTCTATTATTAGTACAGAGTTTATTGTTACAGCAAGGAAAGGGATAATGGAGATGATTACAAAGTTTCATTATTTAGAGCCTTTCATTAGTGTTCTTGCGACTCTGGAGGTGAACTGTGCAACTTGGTAGTATCACAGAGGAGTAAGATGTAACATTGTTTTAGTTTTAATGTGTTGTCCTTATTCTAGATAACCCAGCACACACTTCCAAAAACATCCCCTGCAGGTATATTGTAACTCGCATGCGAGTGAGCTGGTCTATTTGCTCGTCGCTCGATTCTTATTATTTATTTATAATGCCTGTAATTTATTCCTTGAGATTATATATATATTTACCCTTAAGACTGAATGTATTAACGAATAAAATGAAATGTATATGCATGTACACATGTAAAAGTGACAAAATGTCTCAGAGTAGAGCGTGGGGCGAGCTGGTCTAGTGGTTAGAGCGCGGGATTTCGGTCTCCGAAGTCCCGGGTTCAAATCCCACTAAATCCCCAAAGGATTTTATCTAAGAGATAATGCTGCAACTCCTAGATCTAGCCTAAAGTAATGTGATAAACAATCCCAGGCTCGTGCTGAGCATCCTAGGATACAAAAAAAATTGAGCGTTGGGCTTTGGTCCCCAAGATCCCGGGTTAAAATCCTGCCAATCACTGATTGCCTTTAGCTAGCCTATGTGATAACATCAAGACCCTCAAAACCTAGCCTGGAGTAGGTCTAATGTAACGGTTACAGGCTAGAGCATAGTGTCTATGATCTAAATATCACTTAAAATATTTACAGGGAAAAAGTATAACTCACTTGGTGGTGTGCTAGATCTATCAGCGCACTGTGGTCGGCATACTCTCCCACACAGAGGTCGGTTAGATGGCGGATCGTTAGGGCTGTCTGTTCAACAGAGCTCGCTGTGTTTGTGATAAAAACCGTTCTCTTGCCCCCTCTGTCAATTGGTCTAGATGGATAGAACATAAAATATATTATACAGGATAAGTTGTAAACAAGCTACAGATTTTACTAGTGATTAATAAAATCTAAGGTGATGTGAATAATTTTAAATTCAAGTTTTAAAGTTGTTAATAGTTTAGAAACTACAGTATACTCCCAACTATGCCACGATAATGAGTGATTGAGTTATTGTGGATAGTCAAACTCATGGATAATGCAAACCTAACCTAAAATTCCCGGAAAATAACTAACAATGTCTTTGGATGGGCATATTTTTCTTAATATAGTAAGCTTTAATATAGTGTAGAAATAGAACTTTTTTTCACACATGTATATTTAAAAAACAATTAGTGACAAAAATTAAAATGCAGGAAATGTAACTTATAAACTCTTTGGTTGTCCCTTATCTGTGGTCTGTGAAGCAAGCAACTGCAACTCTACAGTGTGCCTGCAAGATAATGGGTCTCCTCATATTAAACAACTTCATGGTGTCTACTAAACCTGGTTTGAAAAATTCAAGGAGTTTTCCAGGAGAATTCAAGACAAATTCCTGAATTTTAAGGAGCTACTATCGGAACCCGTTTAACTAATCGCAACCAGCTAATAAATGAAAATGATTATTATTAAGCTATTATTATTATTAATAATGATTATTATTATTTGAAACAAAACATTTCCAAAGAATAATATTTTATACAACATAATAAAACAGTATAACTGGTAGGTAAGGCGACACCAGTTATCATCTCCCGCGATTGTGGGAATATCAGTGAGCATATCTTGCAGTATCTTCAACATCAGCGACAAAACGTCACACCGTCAACGATCGCGGCAACACCCGTAGGCATCTCACGTGGTTTCGGCGACACCGATAATCGTCTCTCGCGATCGCGGCAATACCCGTAGGCATCTCACGTGGTTTCGGCGACACCGATAATCGTCTCTGGCGATCGCGGCAATACCCGTGAGCATATCTTGCGGTTTTAGCAACACCGATAATCGTTTCCCGCGATCGCGGCAACACCGTAGGCATCTCACGTGGTTTCGGCGACACCGATAATCGTCTCTCGCGATCGCGGCAATACCCGTGAGCATATCTTGCGGTTTCGGCAACACCGATAATCGTCTCCCGCGATCGCGGCAATACCCGTGAGCATATCTTGCGGTTTTAGCAACACCGATAATCGTTTCCCGCGATCGCAGCAACACCCGTAGGCATCTCACGTGGTTTCGGCGACACCGATAATCGTCTCCCGCGATCGCGGAAATACCCGTGAGCATATCTTGCGGGTTTAGCAACACCGATAATCGTTTCCCGCGATCGCGGCAACACCCGTAGGCATCTCACGTGGTTTCGGCGACACCGATAATCGTCTCTCGCGATCGCGGCAATACCCGTAGGCATCTCACGTGGTTTCGGCGACACCGATAATCGTCTCTGGCGATCGCGGCAATACCCGTGAGCATATCTTGCGGTTTTAGCAACACCGATAATCGTTTCCCGCGATCGCGGCAACACCCGTAGGCATCTCACGTGGTTTCGGCGACACCGATAATCGTCTCCCGCAATCGCGGCAATACCCGTGAGCATATCTTGCGGTTTTAGCAACATCGACAATCGTGTTCCGCGATCGCGGCAACACCCGTAGGCATATCTCGTGGTTTCAGCGACACCGATAATCGTCACTCGCGATCGCGGCAATACCCGTGAGCATATCTTGCGGTTTCGGCAACACCGATAATCGTTTCCCGCGATCGTGGCAACAAAAGCGGTAGTGTTTCGGTTAGGCGACGATTCCGATGACTGGGCTCCGGATTCCCGAAGGTTTGGGTGGATTCCTGGAGTTTTCCAGGACATTTCAAGGTAAGATAAAATTCCCGGAGGTTTCCCGGTTTTCCCGAATTTCCCGGAGAGTAGACACCATGAACTTGGGTCCTCGCTGTATAACAAAGCCTACATTTAACTTACAAAATATATCTTTTACTTAAATTATTTTGTGGTTGTAATTAATATGCAGCGTGATTAGCCTACTCCTGAATCCAGTCCAAAGTCTACTGTAGGTCTATCTCTTACAGTATTGTGTTTAAAAACCTATTTAATTATAATTATTTACGTTATATTATTACTTGTATATATTTTATATGGAAAATATATTGACCCCATGATGTAAATTGTGTAATGCATGAATAAGTTATACTGGTAGTTTGATTTGAATTGATATTGGCTTTGATATTTTACATTTATAGGTGAATTTCAACTAAATAGGTACGGTATCAACATAATTCGAAAATGGTGAGATAATAAAACATGTTAGGATGATACCATTGACTATTGGATACTGAAGTAGACGTCCCATCTATATGGACCAGCTGTAGCCAATTTTTTGTTAAAAATTAACGAAGTTGTGTGAGCCAGTCACAGAATGCGCTAGTGACTAAAACTCTATTTTCTACCTTATTTTTTAGTGCTGGCCAAGTTGATGGGTCTTAACAGTTGCTATAGCTCATAATAAGTAATTCCATTGGTTTGATTTGGTAAAAATATTGTGTAGTCAACATAAATCAGTAATTTAGATCAGCGCAATCTGTCGGTGGCTCACATCAACTAAGACGATTTCGGTCAAAAAGCTGGCTACAAATTTAACATGGAGATGGAATGTCTAGTTGTATTAATATTCAAAGGTAATACTCACCTTCTGATGGTGTTGGCAAGTTCTTGGATTAGTTTTAGGGAGATGAACACTTTGTTAGGCCCACTCCCGAGGCAGACAATAATGTTACGTTCTTTGGCAGCTGCCAGCAGCTCCACCTGAAAATGACAAGCAGTACGTTTGTTGAATGAAATTTATTTTGAAATAATTTACCTTCAAACAATTAAAATTGGTGTACACAAAATTAAAACTGCAGGTGCAGCACAGTTTCTAACTTAATCGTGTACTAAAACCTTAATTACTTATTTTTTATGAACCAATCCTTCGGATTATGAATGTAAAACAATGTAGGCCTAGATGATATAGTGATCACAGAATGAGTTGTAAATAATAACATATCTCAGACCAAGACAGAGGTAACAAGTGTTCGTCCACAATCTATTAGTGTCAAATTTTTTTATTGGTTTGTATTCAAGGCCTAATTGACCAACCCCGCAAATATGCGCTGATCAGTAACAAACGTCTTCACCAATTTTGATTGGTTTGAGGTTTTATCAATCAAGGTTATATGCCATTTAATTTACACAATTAACATTCATCTTACCTGATATTCTTTGGGAGTAAAGAATTTGGTATGTACGTTATCTGCATAGTGATACGCCATTACTCTTTCGTCTGAAACAGAGGAAGGTACTGTAATGATTAGTTGTTCATATATTTCTTCAGTTGGTCACTTTAATCCTACAATTTGGCTTCATGTAAGGCTTAGCAAGTAGACCCACCAAGTAGACTAATATTCTTTAGAGTATTAATCCAACTATTGTTAATATATTAGCCTAATGCAAAAGTGCTATTTGGCCAAGTCTGCAGGGGAGTACAATTTAACAAAGCAGCAGCAGAAACTTGAGAACACAAAACCTAAAGCACCAAAGACCAAATAACATTTTTGACAAGACACAGAAACCTATTTGATCTACAAGCAGAGGCAACCTATCTGGATAAAATCAAGGAGCGATTTGTACGGAACCGTCTCAAAATCAACAAAGAAAAAAAATCAATCCATGACGTAACCCTCCAGCAAAGTATAGATATTGAGGCAGTCAAACTGCTTGGTCGATTCCAAGCTAAACTGGTCTATCACATTGAGGGTATGGCTTAGATGAGTGGGTATAAAATAATACACGATCGTCGGTGCACCAGAACATAGTGAAACGGAGAGCGTAACTGGTTCCGCTGACAAGCTAGCCTCTCTAGGATGTTCTACCGAGATTTTGAGTGTTTAGTCGAGGATCGAGCTTCAGTGGCCAAACTCATAACATATATGGTTTGAATTGTAGTTTTATTTCATCACATCCGTTCTGTTTGGGACCATGAATAACCCTATAACAATATATTTAAATTGATAACGTGCAGTTATTTCTGTCAAAAGGTGGACTGACTACAATCTAATCTCCGCTCAAATGAGACTATAAGTTAAAAATATGGAACTTATCCAGTAAACAATTTAATTACTATTTTTCATGATAAGCTGTTTTTAGAAATGTTGTGCAACTTTATTATTTTAAATATTTAAGCAGTTGTATAGCATAATGAATGACCATTTTGCTGTAGGCCTATTTAACAATTTTCGCCATCACCTATTTATTTTTTTTTTGAAAATCTATACATTTCCCCCACTAGGATAAATTAGGTTTTATTTAACAGTACTATATATTCAAAATTACTGTAATCCAGCCTCTTAACTCGCTACGCAGTGCTCTTATGTGCATGTGAAGCGCTGCTACCATCGGGGTAAAAAACTCTCAGCCACCCTCTCCACTACACTCTAGCCTTGCTGCTACACTTTGTTTTCACCCTGAGGAGGCTTTGCAGGATCGTATGTCTAATGATAAGTTAAAACACCACATCACTCATCCCTACGTGCTCACGGTTTACCACTCATTTTTCCATATTCACATCAACTATGGTTTGGTGAGGTGGGGACATAGCCACATAACCTAGAATGTGCTGCTGCTACAGAAGAAGGCTTTAATAATTTCATTCTCAGGCATAACTGACCACTGAAGGACTATTTTAATGGAGCTTGGCATTCCCACAATTTACAGCCAATACGTACTAAGCACTTCAACCATCTTGAAAAACAATGTGAGAAGCATGCAGTACAATTAGGCTCGTCACACACTGCGTCCGGTCCGGTGAAATCGGATCAGGCATGCCGGATCAGGTAAATTCAAAAACCATTAATTCAAATGGAAGTGACCACTTTGCATTAGGTCCGGTGCGTCAGGTGCTCTCCGGTAAAATTATTTCGGTCGAGAAGCGATCTAGGCTTCAGGCAAGCTTCCGGCGCCGGAGGGCTCGCGCATGCGCAGGTGACTTTTACTCACCACATAGCAGCAGACGTGGTTTTTTGGTGATTGTTTATACCCTGTAAGTTTTGTTACAAAATGTCATTAGAAGAGAAATTGATTGTGCAAGTGCAGGAGCACCCTATGCTATACGACCCGGGCCACGAGGGCTACTACAATTAGTTATTGAGGAAAATATTTGGGAAGAAATAAGTGATCAATTTAATAGGCCTACTACTAACCCTACTATGATATCATCGTCACTGTCACTCATTGTTAAAATTAAATTTGGTTATAGGCCTAACCGACTAGTTGTTGATTATTTAAACACTTTTTCAACTGACAGTATCCGCTGTCCTCGCAGACTGGTCGCCGGAACTGGAACGCCTGATGCAGTGTGTGGAAATTTGCCGGATCCGGCGAAAAACGCCGGATCAGAATAAACCGGACCGGAGGCAGTGTGTGACGAGCCATATGGGACTCATAGAGTAGGCTCGCCGCAGGCTGGGTCACACATTGAACTCTTATTCATCGCTCGCTGTTAGGCTTGATATATGCTCTGTGTACCTTGATCAAAAGTAATTTAAATCATCACATCTGCCAGTGCTGCTTAAATTGTGAATATAGGTTATAACTTAGTTGCATATACTTTTTAAAAAAAGAGTGTAGACTAAATAGACAAACTATCCAACAATGTTGGTCAAGGATGAAGATAGGCCTACCGAGTATTCAAATAAGTAAGTACATGCATACTGAGAATCGTACCCAGATGTCAAATTCTATCACATGTTGTATTGAGGACCTCTGCTATGATAATCGCACGTGTCTGAGAACCTAAAACCATTTATCAACAGGTCAATGTCTAGTTTACTCCTAGCGGGGTGTATTAATCGGGTATAGGGTAGTAAGTATTGTGCCTAAGCATTTGAGGCTAGTGTTGTTAAAGTAGCCTATCCATCTGGATGTAGTCTACAGAGACGCAGACTTGCAAAATCCTTGAACAGTTTCCCAGTAAGACACAAGCAACAAATCAAGCAGTCGAACAATGCCTGGTTTAAGAGATTAGTACAACAGAGACTCTTGGCAACCAACTCCTAGTTAGAGCCTTATTACACGAGTAGCCTGGCGACACACTGGCTACCAAACCAAGTGGCCAGTAGCCAGAATCTTTCCGCCAGTGGCGACGGGGCTCAGTAGCCAAAGTTTGGCTTACGCTTGAGTAATCCAAAAGAATCAATGCCCCATGACAAGCAGAGCAGCCAGTTTCTTCGCTAAAGACGTCGCCAGGCTATCTCGTTTAATAAGCTCTGGATGTGGACAATTTTCTGAGGGAACCTTGGAGACGAGCCTTTCCCAATCCAAGATAGATGTTACAGCCTGCTTATACATTTACACAGCCCAGGCTATCAGGATCATCTGGTTATTAGCGACACAGCGGTATTTAAAGAATGGTAGGCCTAATTAAACACATTAGGGAGCACTTTCATCTATGAAAATCAATGTATTAAGTTACCGGTAGGCTACCTACTTAGAAAGTTCACTTCAAATGCAGGCCTACTTGACATTTGGAGAAATAATATTCCTGACTTAGTTAACTTATACAGGCACCAGAAATTGTGTTATTAAGTTAAACAAAACACATTGGACATTTAGGCCTACTAGCTAGACTATAGGCTACAATTAATTGAGCTACCAATTCTACTTGTTTGGGCAAAGTGGGACATGCCCATCACACACAATCAGACATTCGGCGTCCAGTTCTACCAGAAAACAAAAACGGCTGAAACATACTGCAGGCTTACCCAACTTATGAACAATTACTTGATTAAAAAGCTAGAATTTAAATCCATGTGTGTAGCCCCTGAGCTGTTGGACATAATGTAAGACTAAATTACTTACGTAATTCCCGTCACAGCTCAATAAATGTTTATTGTTTATTGAGCTGTGACGGGAATTACTTAAGTAATTTAGTCTTACATTAAAAAGCTAGGCCTAGGCCTACCAAGATTAATAAAGCCTACGTTCTAAACAATACCAGGGTGAGGGGCTATTTTATCATTGCGGTTAGGAGGAAAATGGTTAACCTATTGAATAAATCCATCTAGACTAGGCCTATCACAATATTACCATGACTTCACTAACTTCGAGGTTCTACCTCTTTAAAACCTAACCTGAAAGTGAGTTTAACCTAGATGCAGTTTGGCTCCCGTTTTCAAAGTAGTTGACCTAGCCCACAAAACCTTTATCTAGTAAATTGTTTACAGCCCCTCGATACCAAAAGGGTACAGTAAAACAGTTTCATCAAAACTAACTTGTTAAATATAAATAAAATAACGAAATACACGATTGGTGAGTTTGAAACTAAAACCGGTAGACAGACAGCGATTGATACACAAGTAAGAAGCTTGTAAAATTCTATGGAAACATACCTCTGGCAGATAAGTACATACAAATTTAGCAATCGTTAATTTTTAAAATATAACAATTATTGTTCATTACGAAATACAAAATTAAACTATTCTTCACAGAAGATTTAATGTTCGTTAGACGATCGTGTTTGTTGTTATTGTGTTTGCTTCAAGCCATTTTGATTTTTTTTCTCATCTGATCTCTTCTTCGCTCTTCGCTCGCTGCAAACTTTTTTCTTAATTTTTTTTTCTTTTAGAGGCAGGCTTGAACCAGTAAACAGGAAGCTAAAATCCAAACATTATTTTACTACTTAGTATATATTTATGTGGGTTTAAAAGTATGGAAATTATACGATTCCTAGAACTCAATCAAATTTTTTTAGGACATAAAATTACATATTCATATTGTAGTATATGAACGAGTATATCCAAACTAAAAACGTCGTAAAAATCGATGTTTGTATTCTCCAACATTTTAACACAGAGTCAACTAAGCTTGTCAATGAATGGTTTCGGGATTTGTTATTCCAGTATGATTGGACAAATAAATTGAATTACAATAAAATAATTGCCATAATGTTGTTGTTAAACGCATGTTACTGCAGTATGAAATTATTTTCTACCCTTCTTTATACCTACAGCCTAAATGTCATTATATATTACGTTACCTACCTTACTACCTCCTCCTTTGCTTGAGACCATAGTTTGTACTGGATACCTAAGCTGCGTAAAAAAACGTTTGAAGAAACCTAAGTTTGAAGGTTTGAGGAGGGAGGATCTATCAATTTCTCTCAACGGTTACACTATTTTAAACTGTACTATTTTTATCCAACACTATTATTGGTAATGATAAATGTTACCAGTTGCGGCTTCAGGATACAGTTTTGGGGGATGCCCCCATCCTACCTGGTAAAATGTAATGCCTAAAAATGTCCAGTCCCAAAAATCAGGGTCCATCCTGATATTTTGGGGGGATCCATCCACCAATCCCTCCCTGGGACCACCACTAGATGTTACAAACCATTCTTATTATTTTAAAATGATGGAGAGTTTGTGATAAAATAGATGTAAAATATGTTATCGTTTCTGATAGAACGGAAACCTAAGCTCCTTTTGCGGGCATAATTCACTAACATGATGGCGAATTTATCATGCCACTCATTCATACTCTTTCATTTGCGATGATTTGTTTTACTTTCCCGAATATATAGAAATACCAGTTTTAGCGTTTTCGAATTACCAAGGACGAGACAACACGCTGCCTTTTCTATTGTAAGCACCACTATATTTTTAGGGGTCTTATCGCAAAGGGGTACCGTTGAAAGCGTCCTGTGATTCTTTTTTTTTGTAACCATTGATCCACATTTGTCTACATGGTCTGGTTGGGTTTAGTCGTTTTCCCCTGCAAATTATTTCAGAGTAGTGCTAAGTTTAAAATGATAAAATTATTTTAATATTTCATATTGGCTCTTGATGGATCATGATTGCTTATTGTTGATCAATGCTCGGAGGATAGCTTTTAGTTTGATAGAGTCTGCTGAATGGAATATCTCCATTGTCTCCTATTATTCCATTATAGTGGTAGTATGCTATTACATTCATATTACAGTATGTATTGTAATTGTTGAGCTTGATGTGTGGGTGGAAATCTCAGCTTTGGTCCCTATATGTATGTGAACACTAATCTATGGCATCTCAAGCCTTTTTTTTAATTTTGTCATTATGATGTTAAATGGTTATTTTTGTATTCTATAAAATACAATAATGAAAAATTAGATTTAAAAAAAACTACTAGAACAATTTTGATTAAAAATTTGTATTTTGCTATCCCAGTTTCAAGACCTTGAATTACAGGGTGTTTGAATAAATCTCAAGACTAGTTATTTTCCCGTGATCTTCCCGACCGTTCACGTTGCCCTTGCTGGGTTGAAGGGGGTCTCAGGTAAAAGACCAAACCCTCTCCGATCGCCATCGAGACGCTAGAGTGGATGCATTATGCTCAAAGTTAGAGTGTGTTTTAATGATGACGTCTAAACATCGTAAGACTAAAAATTCAGCCTTTTCAGGAGCAGTGTTGTTCCACAAAATGCCGTGTCAATAACGGAGTGGAAACTCTTCAGTTGCTTCAAAAAGCCAACAAAGTGACGTAATGTCACGTGCCATGTTTTTCATGAGGCACAAGTGGTTTAAAGAGGGACTCTAAGACGATGATCCTGCTGGAAGGCCTGCGAGCAAGAAAATACGGCCAAAGTGCAGAAGTTTTGAACAGTGACCAACGCTTGGCATTAGATTAATCGCTGATGGAATGAATTTGAACTATAGTACAGTGTTTAAAATTGTTTCTGAAGAATTGGTGACGAGGAAGGTCAGTGCCAGCAAATTGTACCGAACGTGCTTAGTCACCTAAATTGTATCCCAAAACAACATGGCAACGCTTCCACAGCCACCCTACCGCCTAGGCCTCGGCCCCAGTGACTTACCTTTGTTCTCCCGAATGAAGAAGGACTTGAAAGGGAATCGGTTATGCACCATCATATCAGTTCAAATGGTCTCAACGAAGATTCTGAACATCATTCCAATAGATTCTTTCCAGGAAGCCTTTCCGACAGTGGGAACTCGTTGGCCGCGGTGTGTCGACTTAGAAGGAAACTATTTTGAAGATTTTTTTATCCGGTGCACACAAATTCCCAATACATTTCTTTTCATGAGACCAGTCTTGGAACTTTATTAACACACCCTGTATACCGGTATTTGATTCGCCTTCGTTGTTGCACGAGTTATGTATACAACAATAAAATAACAACTTTTATATCTGCAAAAACTCAGGTAACAACAAAGGAAAATCTAATATAAAATTCAGTATGTTATGTTTCTTTTAGCTCTAAACAAAATAGTACAACCCCCAATGCTATATAAATTTAGGTCCAAAAGTTATTTAATGTATTTATTTATTTCACAACAGCATAGCCACTTTACAATAAGAATAACACAATACATTCTTTCATTAACAATTTTTACATTAACAATAAGAAAATAATTATAAGAAAAACTAGCTATATGGTTAACAATACAAAATATTTACAGTTAAATTATAGAATATAATAAAATGACATAAAATATAAATATAAATACTAACACAAACATATTTAAAAAATAGTGCATACAAGAGTGAGATCAATATAAATACAGCATGAAATAGATGATCAATAAGCGTCAAGCTGTAGTTTATGCACATACAGGTACAATGCGTGAAGAGGACATTTTCTTATTTGAGAGAATGTGTCGTAGAACGCGTTTCCATAAGCGGAATTATTTTCCCGAAAACGGGATGTTTAGACCACGAGCGGGATTAAAACAGGATGCGGGATAAAACGGGATTTTTCGACCCAGTGAGCGGGATTATTGTTATAGTCGTGTGACGCAGTCCGATGCAACGCGGTTTCCAAGCCGGACACAAAGAGCTATATGGAGATGCCAAGCAAGATGGGCTTTTTATGTTGGGGGAAGACAACACTTGAGCACTTTTCAGGCAAACCTGAATGTTGTTGTTGTTGTTACTGACGCACCATTTACGAAATTATTTACACAATCACATCCGCCACCGCAAGCCTCCATTTTCCTGACTGTATCTATATTAAATATTTCCTTAAATATGTTAGGGACATTCCATACTCAAATAACACTAGATTTAACGAGTACTTAGGTTTGCTGCTACAGGAAAGAAGAGTTTTGATTTTGGTGATTTTGATAAAAATATATCTGAAACAACTAAACTACATCAGTTAACTTCCACAAGAATATAATGACAATTTTAATGAACATTGGTTTTATGAATTTTCTCCGTAACTATTAAACAACAACACTTCAATATACAAAATTATTTGTCTATTAAATATCCACTCAATGGCAAATATAAATCGGACATTTTCATGTTTTAGCGATAAACATGAAAAATTGAAATAATAAAAACCCATAACACCCCGTTTTTATTACCCGATCTTGCTTTTCCGCAAGTCCATGCACGTGAAAATATACAACTTTCGCTAATTTTTAAAAAGCATTTTGTAAAGTGGAATTTTGTAAAAATTTATGTGGTTTTCGTTTCACAACTCAATATTTTTGTTATTGTACTTGGTTCCTCTTTTTGTGGCCTAGAGCTGGCATTACCTCCTACTCAATACAGGGTTAATAACAATTCTGGACATATTAATTTTTTAATGGGTTACACCGGGAAAACCAAACTCTGTGCTAACCAATGTCTATTTAGAATAAAATGCGCTTTTTTGTTGGTACTGTATCCCAATTTCGTCGGAAAACCCAAATGGGTTATTTTTGGGGTAGCTCAAAAGTTTTAGTTGTAACGACCCATCAAGTGACACCTAATTTTGAAGGGCATTAGTTTAAAAGAATACCGGTGAAAACTAGAGGTCCCTTATCTCAATCCAATACAAAATGGCATCAGCTTAAATTTTCATCAACCTTTAAATATCCCACTTTAAAATATACAATGATATCCCATATTAAGATTTTATTGAATTGTACCAGGAAAGTTTATTACTCCATAAAAAAAACTGTGTACTTTTTGGTTGGTATCACAATTTCCCCTGGGAAACCAAAATGGAGCATATTTGGGCACCTCAAAACTGTTAAATGTAATCCCTGAAAACTACAAACTACCGCCATTTTGTATTGGGTTGGGATGTAAAAGGGACCCCTGGTGTCCACCGATATTCTTTTAAACTGATGGCCTTTAAAATTAGGTGTCACTTGATGGAGAATTACGTTAAAGATGTTTGAAGCTGCTCCCAAAATAACAAATTTAGGTGTTTCGGACGAAATTGGGATGCCAACAAAAAAGTGCACTTTTATGCTATATAGGGGTGTGCAAAGTTTGGTTTTCCTGGCGTAACCCATTAAAAAGTTAATAGTTTTAATATACATATGAATTTTGGCTACTTGGCACATCTTTACACTACTGAGCTCTTTAGTGGTCAAACTGCGCACCTTTTAACCAGGAGTTCAGGCTTAATATCTCACCAAACACCCCTGCCTAAAACCTTTGTAATAAGGCTAACCGGTTGGTCAAAGCCCAATTGCGATGTAGGTCTACTTTTGTACAAATAAAAATATACAGGCCCCTTAAGCGATTCAATTTCCTCTATATTACTGTTTTCACTGTATCCAATATACAGGGTGAATAAAAAGTCAAGCCCCCCTCTCTAATATTTTTATACGTATCGTTGATATCCTTTTAGTGGTCGTGCAATCTTAGCAGGAAGTTTCATTTTATGAATTTGAAATTTTTGAGTGTCCCCCAAAAGGGGGGGGGGGATTTGGAGGGCAACTCAAAAATTTTAAATTTTAACTCCCATTAAGTGACACCTCATTTTGAAGTGTTGACAAAACTTAAAGAATTGTGAAAACCAGAGTTTGCTATCTCTTTTCTATCCAAAATGGTAGCCCGTCAAAAGTTTCATTACGTTACTGCTACATTTATTTTCTTGTATAGTAAAAAGTAATTTCCCTCCCTCTAATTTGTTCCTAAGTAAATAACAACACAAAGAGAGCAGATCCTTTGGATCCTTTGGATGGTCATGCAGCCTTGTCAGGAAGTTTCATTTTATGGTTTTCAAAATTTTGAGTGCCCCCCAAAAGGGGAGACTTTGGGGGCAACTAAAGATCAACTTTGGGGGTGATTTGGAGGGCCACTCAAAAATTTTAAATTTAAGCTCCCATTAAGTGACACCTCATTTTGAAGTGTTTACAAAAACTTAAAGAATGGTGAAAACCAGGCACTCAAAAATTTCAAAATCATAAAATGAAACTTCCTGCTAAGATTGCACGACCACCAAAAGGACATCTCTGTATATTTACTTAGAAAAATATAAGGGTGGGTCTTGACTTTTTATTCACCCTGTATAAGGTCTAATATTTTTGCGATTGTAAATACATTAGCAAGCTCGTAGTCAGTTCTTGCACGACCACCGTCGAGTACCGCTGTGCTAGTGTTATCGTCAATCTGACAGTTTTGTGGCCATTTATGGTTTTTGCTTCACACTTTATCAATAACACTATCGTAGTTTACACAATTTATTGCCTGGGAATTAACACTCTTGCTGCTGTTTTCTGAAACGTGTCACGGTGCAAGTTGAGGATTTTCTGTTGATCAGCCAAAATTAGATAAAGGTAAGGCTTTATGTTTACCCCTATAGTGAAATCGTAATCAAGGTGAAGAAGAAAGGATTAGATCCGAAGGTGAACTATGGTATCAGCCTGATAGATCAGGTGGTCTTCATCCACATAATATAGTGGATATTCAAATCGTCCGGTTTGTTTACATTTCATTGATGTTTTGAACCTGTGTTAAATGCAGTGGGGTTTTTGTCAACGTAAGTAATACTTTTTAGTTTTAGAGTTTTGGTGATGATAAAATTATAACGCAATGGAAGCAAGTTTCGAAGTAATGTTGAAATTGGAAATTCTAAATGATATATCAAACCTAACCTGCTTTCGGTCAATAAACTTTCCAAAGACCAATCTAGTAATTTATATGTATATAATGCCAAATAGAAATAGTCAATAGCGACCGAGTATTAAAAAACATTACTTGAATAGTATTGTGAATATATTTATTGGAAATCGAGATGACATAAAATCTTTATGGAATATACATTAATGAAACCACATTTGACTGTTATCTCAATAAACATATTAGGATTTCAAAACGAAAGAATCTATGGAACACGATAATTATTGTAAATTTCAATTTTGAAGCCAGCTTGCCACATGTTGAACATGATTTATTATTTTAAACATTGGTACAACGGTTAAAAATATATGGTAATGGTAAAAAATACATTTTCTAATAGTGGTACTACTGTAATTCATGATTTGATTGAAATGTCTTTAAATATTATCAAGATTACTTCGCTTGCAACCAAAGCGCGTTCAAGATGTAATAAAATGCAGCTTCAAGGTAAAATTATCGAATTATTTAAATTAAAAAAATTCTAAAAATATATCAAAAGTTAACAAGTAAGGTCATATTTTTAACAAAACAATTAAGGTGCAATGTATTGGAATTAATATTTTTTCGGAACGCTTATTTATTTCATTTTTATTAATTTTGATTGGTTCTTTAAAAAGACATCGTGATTCAAAATACGTATATTATTAATTTCTAGTAGACTTGGATATTTTACTTGTGTTAGATTCTTGCTCCAATCTGCGAAAATGTAGTTCTAACAGTGATTTTTACTTGAAGATAAGTAGTTGGTTACCAATATCCCGACAGAGAAATTACGTCACTAACGCCAAACATTTATAATTATTTCGTAAGTATGACAGTAGCCTAATTAAAATTGCCATCATAATCTTAAAAGTTTTTGACGATCTAAATTTTAAACAGTCTGTGTTTGGATTGTGTAATATATATTTTAAAACACCAGCTCTTCATCGTCTCTAGGGTCTTTAAACTATAGTATTCATTAATCACGATTAAATCTAAATGAAGTCCTTACCTAGTACACTACAAAAGTGCTAGATTTTTCTTATTACGTTGGAAAAATGTTTAATACAATCTTTTCACTAATTATGAACAAACGTGAAGATAAATAATGTGTGTATTTTTTTAATACGGATGTTAAAACCCGGCTTATTTTGAGCCAAGCATATATTTAATGAAAGGTAAACTAATTTTTAAAAGCGTAGCGTAGTTGACATTCGTTCAAACTGTATAAATAAAAATTTGGTGGAAAGACAAAAAACTATACCCCAAAAAGCTATACTATTTTATTTCCTTCCTCAGAATTATAATAAATCCAAAGAGGCAATGACATTGACCCTCCATTTAAGGACACTAGATAATTTTACTTGATAATTACTAGATCATCTTTAATAGAAGAAATAGAACTTTTTGAGCATTTCTTCTTCTTCAAAAATTAAAGGGGGGTTCGGGATTTGAGATTCTGTTGCTGAGGGTCCTGGATGAATAAAATCTGGGTCTAGGATATCTTGTCAGCAACAGATAAAGAAGAGTTAAACGATTGATAAATTTAAAACGTATTCATAATAACCACTTCGGGGTTAAATTTAGAAATTTAGAAAGGCAATTATACAGTTTTACCATCTTTTAATTTCATAACCAAGTTTATTTCTATTTCAAAAAAATATTAAGTGAAAAAATATTTTTTTATCAATTTTATTTTTTCTTAGTGGAAGAAAATTAAAAAGGATTTTGAAGGAAGTAGATTTGTCTGTCGTTTCCACGCTTTTGTAAAACATAACATTTTGGTTTCGCCCCTCTGATTGATTATTTAATATATGAGTATCTATTTTATAGTTTGAGCCATTTCACCTGACTAATAATTAGTTACTTCAAATATTCAGAAAGATGAATTAAGAAATACAATTGTGTTGTTGTAAATGATTTAGAGACGTCGAAGGTGAAAACAACGAATTTTGTACATTAGAATGTATTTTATTACATTTTGAACGAGCTTTGGTAGCAAGGGAAGCAATCTTGCTAATATGTAAAGACATTTCAATCAAATCATGCATTACTGATATAGTACCACTATTAGAAGATGTATTTTTTACCTTTTTTGCAGCTAGTCTTTCACAGTTTCACCAATCCTTCTTGTTTTTATAAGGTTCATAAGATAATCTTAGTTTTCAAGTTATAAATAATAATGAATTTTAATTTTACTAATGTGTCATTTTAGCTTTCATTTAAGTAGTCTATCTAAATTTAGACGTTAACCCTTTTAAGAGTTAAAAAGTTATTATGAACCCTTTTAATGATTTACAATGGGATGTAAACCTTCAAGTAACTTTTTCTGTAAGTACCAGAAATAGTGTCATAAATTAAACACACATTATAAATATATTTAACACGAAAAGCTCTATGCTCTATGATTTATAACAACTTAATACGGTTTTAGAATTTTGTATTGTATTTTAGAATGGATCCTCACACTTAGTTTCTTATTAACAGTTAAAAGAGCCGGGCCCAATACTATCACATTTGGAGAAGAAAGAATCACAGTATAAGCTCTATAGATGGGCAAAGTATTCTACATATTTTACCGCTTAAGAAAAACCCAAACGCCGTATTCATAAAAATAATACCACCGCCGCAGCAAACCTGCAGACTAAGCGAATTCCCATTTGCCTGATTTGATTTTCAATTAAATCTATTCAAATAACATTTAAACTAGTACCTGGGTTTGCTGCCTACAGGGAGGGCAATTAAGTGTGTTTTCTTTTTAGTAAAATAATAATAGCTTAGTATAAAATAAATAGATTTGCCAAGTTTGAGATAGATTTCAAATATGCCAACTTTTTAACAAAGCCAAACTGAATGGACGACATTGTAAATGTAAACTATATATTTTTCGGGTGACGTGAATTATCTTAGTAACAAAAACTAGGGAGGAAATAGAATTTGAGGTGACAACACACTTTGGGGGAAAAGGTTAGTCTTAAAACAGCCTCAGTCCAGTAGGGTTTCAGCGTTTCAGCTCTCTGGACCACTGGGATTGGAACTTCACGACGGCGACTATTTCGACTCGGCTCTATTTTAATGAACAATTGCATCGTCTCCTCTAAAACAAGGCCGTGGCGAACATATGGCAACGTCGCACTCGCCGGCCTACTGTCGTGATAATAGCAGACGATTGTTACAGCTGTTTCGGTAGGCCAGGATTGCGACGTTGCCACTTCGGTCTCGCCACGGCCTTGTATTAGAGAAGGCTATTGGCAACATCTGGTCTACATAGATGGGATGCTGGTTACATTATTGTGATATCCGTTGTTGTAGGGATGATTTGGTTGGTGTGGGTCGCTGCAGTGGCCGTTAGCGCTACAGCGGACCCTTACGGCATTCCGGCTCCATTTGGCTACCCCTTCTACCGTAGCTACCAACAGCCGTCACCGTACGTCGTCAGCGCTCCCCAAGTCGTCGTCGAACAGGTAATGTAACCAAATATAGATATGGTAACACCTAATTAATAAGTCCTAAAAATAATTGAATGGCTGAAACGACACGAGCCCTAATGGCTTAGGTCACTTGACTTGATCTGAAGTAATGTAACAACCAATCCCAGGTCTGTGTCTGTCCAACTGAGTAGAGGGGGTGTTTTTAAACTGAATAGGGGGCGGGGAGTAATTTAAACGGGTGTGTTTTTTAACTGAATAGGGGGCGGGGAGTAATTTAAACAATTTCTTTTCATTTATTTTTGATTAGGAGGTGTAAAATGCAGTTACACACACCCTTCTTGATTCTCACACTACAGGTTGTGAGTAAAAACATTTCCCACCAAAAGCACGCACATAGTTAATAGTTAGTTATAGTAGTATGTCTCAGCATGCAATAATAAAGTAATAAATAAATAAATATTCTCCCTACTAGTCCAGTCAAGGAATGAGGTGTAGAGTGCGTGAGTTGGTAACTAAGCGATTCCTTCAGAAACTTGTTCAGGGGGCTTAGGGTGTTAACATACCAAAAGTCCTGACTCCTAGGTGGTGAGCCAGTGGGTGGAGGGGGGAAAAAGGGGGGGAGAAAGGTACGCATTTTGGGTTTTTTGATTATATCTCGAAAACTATCAACTTTTTGTATACTATAGTAAATTATAAAATTGAAGAAGATTAAATTTTCTACAAGAAAAGTATATAATGTGTTTATTTTGGTTCAACAGATTACGAGTTATAACTTATTTAATTGATATCTTATTAAAATCTTCTTCCATAAGAAATACATGTAAATGAGTATGCGAAATGGGGCGAATCCTATCCGCCCAAATGAAATATAACTGATATTCTGGAAATCTTGACAAAATTTCCAGTAATTTGACACTTTAATCATTAAAATTGATCCAAAATTAAGGCGAGGGCGAGGTAACAAAATGTCGAGTTTTGGTGTTTTTTTATTGGAAATATAAAAAAAACCTCAAATCATCCCGTTTTTAAACGCTCACCCTCGCTTTAATCTTTGACAAAATTTCATGATTAAAGTGACAAATTACTGGAAATTTTGTCAAGATTTCCAGAATATCAGTTATATTTCCTTTGGGCGTAATTGGATTCGCTCCATTTCGCATACTAATTTACATGTATTTCTTATGGAAGGAGTATTTTGATAAGATATTAATTAAATAAGTTATAACTCGTAATCTGTTGAACCAAAATAAACACATTATATACTTTTCTTGTAAAAAAATTTAATCTTCTTCAATTTTATAATTTACTATAGTATACAAAAAGTTGATAGTTTTTGAGATATAATCAAAAAACCCAAAATGCGTACCTTTCTCCCCCCCTTTTTCCCCCTCCACCCCCTGGCTCACCACCTAGGAGTCAGGACTTTTGGTATGTTAACACCCTAAGCCCCCTGAACAAGTTTCTGAAGGAATCGCTTAGTTACCTGCTCACGCACTCTACACCTACTTTTGGATCATTCATTGACTGGACTATACGTTTTTAATCATGATTTATTTTATTAATTTTAATGTATCGAACAATTATAATAACAGCATTTTATGTGTCAAGACAGACCAAATGTCTTTATTACCTAATACATGGTCTTTTAAGTTAATGTGTCAATTATGTCTTGGCGTCTCAAAATTTTAATAGAGAATAACTAATTTCTCTGGGGGATTTTACAGAGCACCGTCTCCGGTGCTTCAGTTTTTGTTTTAAGTGTTTTTTCTCAATTCCTTGGCCTTCCTAATCACTTCATTACACTATTATCATGTAATTGCTATCTTTTATAACTGTATATGCATACCACAGGCACCACAGAGAATGTTCTCTGTGCCGTGACCGATAATAAAAGGACAAAGCTCCATTTAGTCACGTGTTACAAATTTACCAATCGACATTTGTTTTCTAATGAAATATCCTCTATCATAAAGACCCCACTTAATTCCGAGTTTAATAATCAAATCCACCCAATTCTAAAAATCCTCTAGAATTTCAGTTGACATTGACTAAATTTCCCCACATCAGGGAAAGTCCCGTTTTCTGTTAAGAATTAGCCCGCATTCCCACAAATTACCATTTCTTTTCGATAATTACCCACCCCCACCCGAAATCCCGATTTCCATCATGATCCCAACTGGGTTGGAGGGGTTGCTTATTTGTTTGATTGGTAAAAAAATTGTTTATCCGTGGCAAAATTCGTTTAGGAAAGTGATACGTAATGTAGACCACATATTATAGTTAAAAGGGATTCAGAACGTCTAGTGATGTAGGACGAGTGAACTAATATCCTTCCGATATACTCGAACATGTATTTTCTACTATAGTGATTACTGTTTAGCTGGACGCTTAAAAATAAACGGAAGTATTAAGGTCGATTCACACCACCACACATCAGTCCAGTCACAGTTCAGTCTCAGTTCAGTCTTAGACGCATCCGCAATTCCAGCCAACAGTCCGTCAGTTGGTTTCAGTCAGTGTTCCATCATTCTATTCAAAGTTAGGTTATTGTCAAACATTTGTTCATAAACACACAATATTCTATCAATTTTTCACCGTCCATTGTGATGATTGATACAAACAGTACTTAAAATATACACACACTTATTTAAATAACAAATTATTGTTTTTTTTATTATCAAACATATACACGACCGTCAGCATCCGTCAGGCGTCCGAACAATCCAAATGTATCGGTGGGAAATCTGAAATTGACTGACGGAACTGCTCCGGATGACTGTGGTAGCACAAAATAAAAACCATTAACGAATAAACTTTTGTGACTGTGACCTGCCTGATGTGACTGAACTGTGACGTGAACTGTGTGTGTATCGACCTTCAGGTGTGTGCTAAGAGCCGTTTTAACTGTCCCTAGATAGAACGATAAAATCCAAACTGTCGCATATGCAATGATTTCGTTACGCATATTATGTTATACATTCATGTGAAGAATTCATTTGATCCATATAACATTCCATTTCCAAAATATGAAATATTGTGACTAGTATGCTAACTTATACAGAGTCTCGAAGTGTCTACGGATAATTTCAAGAAGATCTCCTCCAATAGTCATCCCAACCCACGCTCAAAATGCCACTATTAAAGTTGTTAAAATAACTGGTAAAAATTTGTAATGGACACTATAATACTCACATGCTTTTTATTTTAAAAACATATTATTTTTTATAGCACGAATTTGCTCAAAAAGATTCATTAAATTCTAGTACAGTAGAAAAAAGAAAATTACGTGCCTAGCTGGTTGAACAAGGAAACAGAATAAATAACCGTATACAGTATTGGCTGATGTAGAAACCCTAACATGGTATAAGGTCAATAGTAGATAGTAATTATAATTTAACATTTTATTACGTTCTAAATGTGTTAAGCTTTGCTATTGCAAATGCTATTGCAAATGTTAAGTGTACTTATCGTTGCTGAAAGGCTGTGAAATAACCAGTAAAGTAGACAAATCTTTCGTTCCCTGCACATGACTCATTCGCAGCTGCATCCTTATCTTTGCTTTAGAGACAGCAAGGTCAGCCACGCAAACTAACTAGTGACATACCAGTTTGTCTGTTTTTGTTAAATACTTATACAGGGTGATTTGTACTCAGTGTGACAAAATTTTTTTGGTGTAAGTACAAAGTAAATGAAGTGTGATGATGCATATCAAATGTTCCAAGTCTAAAAATTAGCTTCCCAAAAAATTATTTTATGTTTTTCAAAAATAACCATGTTTTTAAACTTAATACAGCGATTTCTCAATTACCTGTATATATGGATTTGAGTAGATAATGTAATTTTCGTGTTCTACATTAAATTTTGAACAAGAATAATAGAAAATGACGGAGGATCAGTTGTAAAAACTCCATTGTAAATAGATTCAAAGATAAAAATTAAAATGTTTGATAAAAATTTTAAAAACAATAGTCTATTGCATTTTTCACACCCTGTATACAAGAAAGTGTCGGAATATGTTAAAAACTGCGCCATTTTATAAGCTTTCCAACGATATGCTACACTATTGAGGTTTATGTCTGCTTATGTACGCTTTAATGGTTTGAAGACTACAAAGCATGGTGTCTTTAACATTTAAAACATCGAAAGTCGGCATGTATTAAGCAAAAGTTGTATTTTTGATTCAGCTTGAACAGTAAAAACAGTAAAATACCCCCGTCGCAGCAAACCTGACAACTATGCGAATTTCCATTTGTCTGAATTGATTTTCAATTAAATATATTTAAATGACATTATAGGTCGAGTACCTAGGTTTGCTGCTACAAGGAAACTAATAAAGTGTTTTTTTTAGTAAAATATTAATAGCTTAGTACAAAATAAATAAGTTTGCCAAGTTTGATCAAAATATTTCCATAAACAACCAAACTACAACATTTTACAATATTCTCCATAAGAATAACATGGGAATTTTAAATTTACAACTTTTTAAAATTTCTCCGTTACCAATAACCGTACAAAAATACTTTTATATATTAAATTATTTGTTTTTTAAGCTCTTTAAAAAGGTATAAAGAGAAATTGGGAAACTTTGTGTTTTGAGGGTCATAAGTGAGAAAAACCAATTTTTACCCCATAAAACCCCCCGTAAAGCCCTGTTCCCATTGTCCGATCATGCTGGTTCGCGAACTCATTCAAGTTTATCCCGCTTTACACCTTTAAACCAAATTTCATCAAAATCGGACAAAAATTACTCAAGTTATCGCGTTCACGGACACATATATATATATATAAATCTATATATATATATATATATATATACATATATAAAAATTTGAACGAATGGTGTTTTTGAACTCTGGGGACATCAAAATGAAAAAGTAAATCGCTCCCGGGCTTAGGTCTTACCATGCCACCTACGGTAATAGCTACTTCCCTATAGGGAAATTCGCTAAAAGTTCCCTGTTTTCTGGTATTCAAACCACTAAACAAACAAAAAAATATCTAAACCTCAATAGTGTAGCATATGGTTGGAAAGC